TTTACATCACATTGCTTCTGGGACAGAGGAACCGTGTTTATATCGTTGAACGTAGCATGAGTGAGTGATGCAAGTACGTTGCAATACTATGTGATGTTCTTCGCAAATTCTGCGTTTGTCACACTCGATGCCATTATTCCGCATCTATGGATATCAGCCACGGTCAAATAATTAGATCAGTACTATTATGTGAATTCTTGAGCACAAAATTTACCGTCCCGAGAAAAATGCCTCAGGTGACTTAGTGCGAATATACTCCTCAGTACTTACGTGCACCGTTGTAAACACTGGTACTGTTTTCTTTGCTGCTAGCACAAATGAAAAAAAACAAAAAACATCAAGTAACCAGCCAAGTACTGGTATGTTATGTATACATGTACGTGTGTGTGATGTAATACAGATTATTCATGCAATAATAATAATAATAATAATAATAATAATAATAATAATAACAATAGCAATAATAATAATAATAATAATAATAATAATAATAATAATAATAATAATAATAATAATAATAATAATAATATATTACCCCATATTGAAAAAAAAGATTAGATTGAGATGAGATGTAATAAACGTAAAAAGAAATCAACAAATACAGGACAATAATAATGACAAATCACAGTGATTGACTTTTTTGGGGACATAACATGTCTTTATCACATAATATATCACGATGATTGTTTAAGCGAGTTTCTCGTGCTCTGTGGTCTAGATGCTACGAAGTGAATTCCATCTGTTACTGTGTCACAAGCCTCGCATAGCAACTACACTATAACTGTAATTGCGTTGTCTAAGGCGCGATATAAATTTCAAAGGTTTTCCATTTGAAGGGTGAACATTTGAGGGGGGTGCAAATAGGGACAGTGAAAAAATAAATTTCAATAAATGTGTGTTTTATAAAAAGAATTTAATCTACAAAAATGTCAACAAGCATTCCCTCTTGGCGCAAGGACAAACAAATTTAAATGCTTAGGAAAGTTTCTATTTTCTTTTCGACATTTGAGGCAATACACAAAATCGGTTTTCTACTATATTTAGGTAACCAGTGAGTATAATGAAATTTTACGTTCTCATAAAGATTGCATGGCACGTTCTCAATTTTATGGCAGATCTCAAACAACTGAGGTCGCGTGAATAACCTCAAATAATAGGCAAAAACGAAAGGTGAACTGTCCCATAAATAAAGACTACATTTTTAAAAGCAATCTACAGACCAAGAACTATTTTGTTGGAATTTAATATTGAAAAGTGTCGTTAAGATGAAAGTGTCCCCTTTTCAAATTCTAACACCAAAAATAGCATGCAATAATAGAATTACAGCACTGTCACAAATATTAAATTTATGCGCCATTAAACATGTGAAATTTAACATTCTCGCATGTTCTTGGGTTGATAGATAGATATTCGTCAGTGATATATACAAGCATTCTGAGCTCACTCGCACTAATGATCAATCAACATATGAGAGAAAACTCATAAATAATAATGCGATATGATAATCCAAACATAAGGCTTTTAAGGTGTCGATTAAAAACAATGATGGATTAAATAGATTATAATTAAATGTTAGGGGAGTATCAAATCGACAGAACACTTGAATGTGAAATCACAAAACCAAATTGCCGCCAGATGGCCGTTTTGAATCAAAATGCAAAACAAAATGGCGAGCATCAGTAACCCACCATGAGTGATGGCACGATCAATACCAAGTTCGAATGAAATCGATCAAACAAATATTGTACTGTTGTTTTTGCAGAGTTAATATGCCTTACCACTGTCTTTTTACAATAATTCAAAATGTATAACCTTTTCCAAATGTCATTCTCAAAAAATAATAGTAAAGACTGATGTACCTATCAAGCGTATTCAGCGTTTTAAATCTTCTCTGTGCGTCAGGCGACAACGAACTATCCGAGAAGTATCAGAGACGACTACGCATCCATTTTCGCATTTCAAAACGTTGAATAGATTTGTTGTCAACACGATAAGCGGATTTTTGTTTCTTCTGTTTGCACCAGTCTTTATTATTATGTCATTATGTTTTGAGAATGATATTTGAAAAGGTTAGGTGACAGAAAATAAAGATAATTGTAAAAAAAAATGCAACTAATATATCAGTCGTTTTCCATTACGTTACAAAACATTGTATATCATGGTCGACTTCAATTTAAAATAAAATTTTCTGTGTGACTTAATGCATTCTCATTTGTGTGAGTTGGCATTACATGTTTTATTGATGCGAACGCATTTAATCTAGTCTGCTGATGGTACTATGTAAAACCATTCATTTAACTGCGGGAGGGGATATGTACACCTTAGTGCATCTTGAATTGATGCGTGCTAATATTCAGATCTTCTTTGTCCACGTCTGTCTAGAGGGCGACATACTAGTAAAAGAACTCGGATCAATCTTCGTACTTTAAACATTATAGAGGGCACTATTCGCTGCAGAGAGTTACGACATGACGACGCGAAAACAATACGGTCACGTGACTTGTGCAGCCATTTGAGGCCAAATTTAGTTTAGTTTATTCAGTCTGCATGTTCACCTATTTGTGCAGTTCGAGTGAACCACGAAAATCTTTGCTACTTACGAAAAAATGACAAATTACAAGGAACGAACGGTATATGTGCTTTCTAAAACTTAAAAGTAAATCCGTTGTCATTGGTTCAATGTTTGAAATGACATGCAGCAACAAAAAAGTGCAAAAAAGTCTTGCTAAATAAAAATGTTATTTTGATGAATTCCAAAGAACAAACGGGTGTTATTAGATGTATTTGAACTGTGAATATGTATTCAATATGCTAAACGCAAGTTAAACTAATATTTTGACCAGATTAAATAAAAACCCAAAATAGATCAGCCGTATTTGCCATGCATGGCTATAGTTACATGTACTATCTATACTAATGGTCATACATGTATGGCCATTGCTAACTGAAGTGAAATGAGTCATATTTGACAATTCTTTGTTGCTAGCACACCTGCCAGCAATGTCATAACCATTAAGCCAATAATTGTGCCAAATATGGATGATATTTAAGGGTGCACATTAAAGATTCACATTTTTAAAAAAGATTATTTACATATTTACAGTTCAAATTGTTAAAATATGTGTTGGCTTTGGAATTTATGAAAATAAGAAATTGTATTTGCTTTTCGCATTTCAAACTAAACAATAACAAATAGTTTAGTAAGCAATATAGAATGTGCATAACTATGTTAAAATGAAAAGATTGGAACTAAATTTTAAACACATTTTTTGCCGAAAATTCTAGATTTCTACTTCATGGATGTTTATTATGAATGCAATCTCACAGTAATTTTGAATCTTTAAAAAAAAAAATTTGAAAAAAAGCAATGCCTTCGTGGCAAGACAAGATCATCGTTCATAATGACATATTTCTAATAACTTCAGTTAGAGTTATCGTGTAGACTGTGTGATTTCCATCATTTCCAAATATTAACTTGTAATAGGATGCAGACAAGCACATTTTTTAAAATAATATAATTCTAATTACTTCAGTTAGAGTTATCGTGTAGACTGTGTGATTTTCATCATTTCCAAATATTAACTTGTAATAGGATGCAGACAAGCACATTTTTTTAAATAATATAATTCTAATAACTTCAGTTAGATTTATCGTGTAGACTGTGTGATTTTCATCATTTCCAAATATTAACTTGTAATAGGATGCAGACAAGACCATTGTTCATAATGATACATTTCTAATGAAGGTCAATTTTTTTCATTCCTAATGCAGGCACATTGTGATTCTCAACAGTTTTAAAGTGGGCGTGTTGGTCATAAAAAGAAGCTAAAGAGTTCTACAGTTCCTACCATTTTCAGTCATAGAAGGACCCCAAAGTCAAGAAAGTCTCCAAAAAAGGCGTGGCCAGTCTGAAAAAGCAATGTGTCCACCCAAGCAACTTGTGACATCTCTCCTTGAAGACCGTGGTTATGCTGCTGACCCACGACTACAAATATTGTCAAGTCATTGTTAGTATCTTGTTTCACAAGATTTTTGACTTCTTTATTAAAATATTCATATTGAATGGGGCATCAACAATTTCTTCTGTTTTCATTTTAAGAATGATTCGTTTTTATCACTTTTTTTTACAAAATGGCGATTATCTCAGCTTCATTTTTTACTCAAAATTTCAACTTTAAAACGGTTTAACTTCTAGACGGTTCATTTGTTTTCAATAATATTTTCAGGGGTGATTATTCAGGTCTATCCTAACGAAGTGGCTTCGTATGGTTTCACAGTCTTCACTGGAACAGAAACAATAGAGCTGCCAATTAGTGGCTCTGTTAATTGTGAACGATTTATAACATGTGATTGTTTCAAAGAGCACTGTGTAAACAATTTTCAATGGAAACACTAATAAATAAGCCATTATGTTCCTAGTGAACAGAAGTTTTAAATAAATGTTTTAAAATCAAAATCAGGTATGCATTCAAAAGTTAAATAGTTTTAAGTGCACTTTCTTCTAAAATGCATGATTTCAACCCAAAATCAACATCACTTAATATGGTATCATAGTACATTATTATAAACCATAAAACTCGAAAGTTTAAATAAAACTCTTTCAAATGATATATAACTTGATGGATAAAAGATATATTTTACTCATGGAATTACAGTAATTAGAACCAATTAAAAATAATGCCCCCAACCTGCATCTCTACCTTAAGATTTCAATTTTAAGGCATCAAACCTGATTCTCTGATGTTTGTTGTTAATTTTCTGTATTAATTTAGTTTTTTGTCTAATTATTGTTATTAGCTATAGTGAGTTTTTTTAACCCTACAATGTTTTAGAAATGAGTATAATACCGTTAACCTATATCATATTATTTAATTTTGCTTTAATTTTTAAATTTTTAAATATTTAAATCCTTTTTGTTTATATTATCATTTCTTCTTGTTCTCCCTACACTCTTGTTTTGTCGTGAAGCTGAACACAGTAATACTGAAGCTGAAGACACCATGCCGTGTGGAGGTTGCAGAACATCAAAACGCCAGACAAAAATGCAGGAACGCATCAAGGGACTCAAATCTGAGCTCCGTCAAACTAGAAAGAAGTGCAAAGCAATTTATAAAGCAAAATTAAAACAGAAAGCGAAAATCTCAAGGATCTTTGGAAAAAAACAGACTCAAGGCTTGTCAAGAGATGGAATAAGAGAATGCAAGTGGATATCAAGTATTGTGAGAAAAGCTCGTCAGTTGAGATTTTGATGTGGTGTTTCAGGTTACAAACTTCTCCTTCAGCCAAACTTCCCTCTCCCATTAGAGAGGACACTACAAAGACGGATGGAGAATGTTAACCTTAGAAGAAAAGAAAAATTCACTACAATGTTGTTGGGAACAGCAGAACACATTTTGTACAATTCATATTTGCTGGCATGAAAAAGCGTGCTATTCATACAAGAATTTGCGGTATTTTTTATAAGTTACAGTGAAATTTTAGTTGCCCGATGGGGGCACAAAATTTTGCTAGCCTGACATCAACAAGCTTAACTGGCCCATGGACATCAGACCACCGCTATATCTAGCTATACATACAGGTTTTTAGTACATATGAGACAAATTCTGTCTTTAATAAACTTCAAATGTAATATGATGTTTATTCGAAAAAAAAACAAACAAATCAAAACATTTTTTTTCATCCTCAACCAGTACTCCAGACTACCATTAAACAATTCAGTCGAGTGGTTCCACACAATCGGCTCAAAATTGCGATGTGTTCTCAGTTGTAACTCTGTGTATAAAGAAACTCTCGGCTGACAGTCACCTCATCCTGTCTAGGTATGGTCGCGATCAGTGTACTGCAGGTCTTGTACTCCGTATACAATAGTTGTAAGCAACTGGAAAGAAGTCCTATTCTACGCCTATGGTCTAACCATTAAATTATATGTTAAATATTTACAAAAATCATTCATAATTATATGTCAAACATTTACAAAAATCATTCATAATTATAGGTCAAACATTTACAAAAATCATTCTATCATTCCATGAGATAATTTGAAATGTAGACAGTTGGTTTGAACAATAAATGAAATTATATTAGGGTGCAAAGCTGTAGCCCACTTTTAAGTTGTTCAAAATCGTAGCGTGAAATAAATAAACAAGCGTTTGTGGGTTTTATATTTTCTGTAAAATTGCCTTTGCAGGAAAATAGTTAGAAAACGGGAACATTGAAAGCTTTAGTTTTCTGACAGATGGTTCATTTTTTCGGATGGTAAGAAAGTCCAATACAAAGTCTAATTCTTGTGCACTATCAATATCACCCGTGTAGACCAACTACTAGTAGTGCAATTATGGTAGAAGTCATTTAAGATAGCGACTCGCGTTCGTGGCTATTTTAAGGTTTTTATTGTTTTGTCCCTATATTTTTTGAATCTGAATTAAATTATTCAAATAATAGTGTAAGCTACAGAATGAAATTAAGACGAAGAAACGAGAAGAAAAAAACAAACACACATGTCTCGGTGTCTATCGACTTGATTGTACTGTTTGCGATTCAAGTTCGCGGATTACAACAAATTGCGATTACAAATACTTGGGAGACGCTGCGTTTGGTTTAGCTTCCACGGTCGTGTTACACCTCATACAATCAACCCAAATTGCATTGGTTGTCTGAGGTTTCGCAAGTCTATGGGAGGAACCATAGCTTGTCTGTGTCGATAAAAATCCTAACGTCTGAAAATATTAAATTTAATGACACGTAATGTACCAGAAAAGAATAAAATACCATCACAAAGACAAAAGACCGAGACAATAAGAGCTGTGAACCCACAGCTAGTCCTTGCCTTGAATTACACATCCCTAGATCATCGACATTGCCTTGATCTACAATTAACCTAGTCTGATATGTAGGCGTGAGTAGGCCCTCGCCGACCGAATGGCATCAGACCTGTGTTGGATTTGGAGCACCGCGGAGGGCGCAATTCACGCGACCTCGCCAGGCAGGTGAAGTGTAGATTATACTCTAAAACAACACGGGCGTGTTTATAAAGGATTAAAAATGGCCGCCATAATAGAAAATTTTCGACCCCCCCCCCCCCCGATTTGAGCATTTTAAATTGAATATCGTTACAAAAAAAAGAACTGTGAATCGGGAATAATATCGATGATTCTGCAAAAATCATCATTGTCAGTAAATTTAAAACTGTATTTGTGACGCATTCGGTACAAAACTGAAGTTTTCCTCTAATTTCATTTTCAACCACTCTGACTAACTTTGAACCACGGTAAATAAAGAGTGGATGAGCCGATTCGTTTAAAATGTTAACATCTTGTTCAAATGAACCTCACGCAAAGGAATGTGTCTGTGCTTTTTTCAAAAAATATTTGGTCACGAGTTTTTCACGTTAGACTATCGAAAATGATGTTTTGAAATAATAATAATAATAATATAAATTGTGAAATAAACAGTCTTGACTGCGCGTGTTGCGTCAAACACATTCACTCGCGCAAAGTAAACACCCATTGTTTAAACCATTCAGTGCGTAAATCGGAGTTTTCATTTCGAAGTTACAGGGCTTATAGAGTGTGTGTCTCTTTGGGGGAAAACGGTTTAATCGTTGAAAATTTTCAAAACCTTTTTTTTCATGTCACCAATTGTGAACGCATAGTCTAAGGATATAAATACAAACTGCCCGCAAAGAGTGTTTTTGTTAGTCAGAATAAAGTGATAAAATGGGAGGGCACGAACGTGAGTCGCTTTTTGGTAGTTAATTTGCACATTGTTTTAGCATAATAATGATAACGTAGGGTACACTCTAACAATAGTTCACCTGGCCAGAGAGGGCGCTATATCAACTACTAGTATATTTTCATAAACACCAGGGTGAGAAACACCGTCCTGCCACTTCTCACTCTGACTTCACAGCCCGGGAGGTACTCATCGAAAAAGTGGCAGAAGTGTACACCCCCAGTCTCCCTTCATGGCACGGTGTTCACCCATACAACTTGTCTAAAATATCCAGTTAAATTACTGGTGAACTGTGTTTAATAATTAATTCAGTAAAAACAACATCTCCACATATCTCATACTCCAGGCATCGACTGAGTGCACCTAAGTAACTCCTAGTGCGCGCCAACAAGGACGGTAATCAACCGAGGCTTGAAGGATTATCACATCTTTTGTTAAAACAATAAGTTTAGTGATGCGAAGAAGTTACGAAGGATGTACGAGATGAAAATGATTAATGTCCATATAGCACAAAGCTTACTTGACACATGTGACGCAATTAAAGGAAACACAAAACAAAATGTTGGAAATAGTATAGAAATGTCATAGAAATGATGAAGAAGAATTGAAGTGAAACGGAGAGGGGAAATGAACGTGACATTGAAATTAATGATGATATAAACCTAGCTGAACTTGGGGCATATAATAATGAGAATAGATCTAGTGATGATGAAGGTAAATACATTTTGAATGTATCTGAAATTTTAGTGTATTATACAAATTATTATTATTCTGCTCACTAAATTCCAAAGAATTTTTTGGAAGTTAAAGAGTCAGTCACCTATCATTTGTTTACATGACAAAATTATATACATGGTCACTAAATATCATGTTTGAATGTGGGGAAAGACAGTTCATGTATAGACACATGGGGATAGTACTTTTTTTTTCGTGTGCCAGACACTGACGTCGTGTTAAACGGTTGGGATGTTACTGTAAAATAATTTATTTTAGCTGAAATTAATTTTCGCTGAAAAGATTTTTTGGGTGTTTTGCATGGAATTTATTTTGACTGACTTCGGGCGAGTTGAATGTAAAATATGGAAAAAAAGTATTTTCACTGAACCATTCTTCAGCGAAAAAAAATTACAAGCGAAAATTAAGTACATGTATTTTACAGTAGCTTCTTTGACTTACTAGTATATGCTGATATGTGTAACATTCTCTGCTATTGTAAGATTGCCGGCAAGGGGTATTTTATTTTTGTAATACACCAATGTAATGTAATTTAAATAAATAAATAAAAAAACTTAAATTTGTAGACATGGGCAAGGTGTAAAATGTAATCAGCTATTTTATTCTTCCGTAATTTGTACAAAGATCTTATTTTTGTAAACGTGTAAAACATGTTCCTTATTAAATGTCGCAATTCGTACGCAATTTCCAATTTTGATTCATAAACACAAATTATCAAATATATTATAAAAAGGAATTAGGAATTAGGAATTTGTGTTATCTTTGTAAAAGTGTAAAAACATATTTTTTACTGTAAATGGAACCAAAGACACACTTTTTCTCAGGCTAGTGTCTTTGAAGGAACTGTCATTTCATTTCCTGTAAAAACGTAAAATGCTTTTTTTAAATTTCCTGTAACCTGTACCAGCCCCCCCCCCCCTTGCTGAGAAGTATGCTGAGAATTATTTACATCGAGCACTGAAGCAACCCTGAGAAGTTATTAACCAAAAATTTGGTAAAACTTCCGCATTTGTCATTGTCCGAAAATCGGGGCTCTCAATCTGAAAAGTAAGCCTTCGAAAGAAGCTCCATAGATTGTTTAAAGCGGGGGGGGGGGTCGTCATCTGCGCACGCGACCGTGACGATAACAACACACGCTAAAAACGGAAAGGCGCATGGGAAGACGCTTGGTTGTAAACAATTACCATGGCTTGCCAATAAAACATAATAAAAAAAAATTGAAAACAATGACTACGGCCATCTGACGCATGCGCAGGTGACGACTCCCCCGCTTTAAAAATTGTGTACATTATATATCGACTACCAATAGAGCTCGATAGATATACCAGCGTAACAACGATGTGTGGGGGTAATGTTGATGATGCTTTACACTGTGTAGATAGTTTTACTAACCAATACGTTGTAAGAGCTGTTAATAGTTTTATTTCTGAGATCGGTGTGATCAGCCTGTCAGTGCAAAATAAATAAATGTCACAAACTTATTCTATTATCTTTCAGCTCGTGGTAGTTTTGGAAGTGTTGTTATTTAGTCAATTTTTAAAACTCGTGCACAGCCAGTAATCCATATATTATATGATTTCCGATTTCACAATTGTTGTCAATAATTTCATAAATATTATTTCTTGGTATTCATTGAATCACACTTTTTACAATTAACCCGATGTTATTTTTAAAAGGGGGCAATGAAGTTGTTTTGTTACAATTAGTAGAAAAACACACCACGTGTCGTGTATACTAGTATTTAGCTAAGGAA